AAAAAAACAACAACAATCAGAACCAAAGTAATTCTTCACAACAGTCTAAGACTAATGTTTACGTCCTGCAAACTTGATCAACTTGTCACTCTTCTTTGGGAAAACCTGCCATCGTAAGAGCGTGTTGTGTTTTTTTTTATATAACAACCGATGACCTTGTGAACTGAACACAGGTAGACAACCGCCAAACTCCTCTTTTTTTGTTTTTGTAATCTGGGAGAGGAACGAGAACAACAGTTCTCAGCAATCCCCCTACATTTTTGTCCAGAACGGTCTGCAGGACACATCCCACTGTAATGCACTGCTTCTCACTGCCTCCTGCAACAGAGGAATCACGTCTGTGCTGCAGTGATGAAGCAGTTCGGGCATAAATGAACAAATACTGTCGGCTTCATTGTGACCAACAAAGTTGACTGTGAAACAGACAACTAAAACTTAACACGGCTGGGTGAAGTGTTTAAAAGTTTAGACAACTCCCCAGTATAAAGGCAGCTTTAAATGCTGCAACGTCTTAGGAGAATGGGTTGTACTGGTTCCAAGTGTTCAGACTTGTTTATTTTAGTCACTTGTGACCACACAATGTAAAATGCTTTTGCAAACCTATTAATAGTGATCTCTAGAGACCAAAAATTGTGAGGTGGCACCACAGCGGGCCCCTTGGTCTCTGAGAGACCACAGCGAGGTGAACATGTCACCCCTTGGTGCCACGAGGCAGGAAAGCTAAAGTCTCAAGCTTCAACTTTCAGCACTTGATGTGGCACCGTGTGGGGAAAAAAACAGAGACTTACCTATGTCAGCAGAGTACTGTGGATGATTTTTCTGTCAGCAGAGGGGATAAACCCACGAGGAGGAGAAGAGACACAGAAATTAGTGACAGGATGACACTGAGCAGAGGACTGAACTCTTCGTCCATGTCCAACACACCATACATGCCACGGAGCCATCACTCCTTCATTCCCCATGACCCCACCCCGCATCAAGCAGAGACAGACATGGGAATGAACGGACATGGGCTCGAAACTGTGTCGTCCAGTGATAACTCTAAAGTCTCATCAAATGAGGACAGCAACACTGTTACTGATTTGAAAGGAAAAGTAGAGTTATTACACTTGTATTACATGAGCGCTGTTGAAATTCTACCTATACTTGTCCATTATGGCCACACAAAACAGCACTGAGGTCACCACCTGTGTGTGCTTTTGGCCAGGCTGATGTATTTTGGTGCTTTAGATTCAGATCTTAAAAAATGGAAACAAAAGAAGTTGCACATATATGTCCACATACAACCCCTTGCACAAGGATAAATATGAACAGTACAACGTTTCCTATCAATTTGATATACCATGTTTTTAAGTAGAGATCATTGCGTTTTTTTAAATTTCATCTCAATCTGAATAAAAATATCTTTAGAGACAGAAGTCTCGAGCTTTTTTGTGTGTCAACAGAAATTGCACACATGCTTTTATATTTCCCCCAGATTCTGGCACCATTAGGAAATGCACCGGGGGGAACCACCACCAACAGTTCTTATTGTTGGTTTGGTTTTCAGAGCCCCAAGGCCCCTACAGGAGACAGAAGGCTCTTTCACAAGACAGCCCACGCCTGGACTTAGACGCCTTCTGGCCATCTCTGTGGCCTAAATATGAATATTAATTTTCGTCCGTCCATTTTCTTCTTCTTATCCGGGGTCGGGTCACGGGGGCAGCAGCCTAAGCAGAGAGACCCAGAGTTCCCTCTCTCCAGCCACTTGGGCCAGCTCATCTGGGAGAATCCCAAAGTGTTCCCAGGCCAGCTGAGAAACATAGTCCCTCCAGCGTGTCCTGGGTCATCCTCTGGACCTCCTCCCAGTGGGACGTGTCCAGAACACCTCACCAGGGAGGTGTCTAGGAGGCATCCTAACCAGATGAACCACCTCAACTGGCTCCTCTGGACGTGGAGGAGCAGCNATGGTCTCGGATTTGGAGGCACTGATCCTCATCCCAGCCGCTTCACACTCGGCTGCGAACTGCTCTAGGGAGAGCTGGAGATCAGGATCTGATGAAGCCAATAGGACCACATCATCCACAAAAAGCAGAGATGTGATCCTAAGTTCACCAAAAAGGATCCCCTCAGCACCTTGGCTGCTCCTAAAAATTCTGTCCATAAAAGTTATGAACAGAATCTGTGACAAAGGACAACCTTGGTGGAGTCCAACTCTCGCCAGAAACGAGTCCGACTTACTACCAGCAATGTGGACCAAGCTTTGGCACCGGTCGTACAGGGACCTAACAGCCCGTATCAATGGGCCTGGTACCCCATACTTCCAGAGTACCCCCCACAGGAGTCCCCAAGGGACATGGTCAAATGCCTTCTCCAAGTCCACAAAACACATGCAGACTGGTTGGGTGAACTTCCATGCACCCTCCAGGACCCTGCTGAGGGTGTAGAGCTGGTCCGCTGTTCCACGACCAGGACCAATACCACACTGCTCTTCCTGAATCCAAGATTCGACTATCCGACGGACCCTCCTCTCCAGGACCCCTGAATAGACCTTAYCAGGGAGGCTCAGAAGTGTGATCCCCCTATAGTTGGAACACACTCTGCGGTCCCCCTTTTTAAATAGGGGGACCACCACCCCGGTCTGCCAATCCAGGGGAACTGCTCCCAATGTCCAAGCGATATTGATGAGTCGTGTCAACCAACACAACCCCACAACATCCAGAGCCTTAAGGAACTCCGGGTGAATCTCATCCATCCCCGGCGCCCTGCCAGCGAGGACCTTTTTAACCACCTCAGTGACCTCAGCACCAGAGACTGGAGAGTCCGACCCAAGGTCTTCAGGCTCTGCTTCCTCATGGGAAGACGTGTCCGTAGGATTGAGGAGGTCTTTGAAGTATTCTGCCCACTGAYCCACAATGTCCCGAGTTGAGGTCAGCAGCGCACCATCCCCACCAGAAACAGTGTTGGTGGTGAACCGTGTCCCCCACCCTGAGACACTGGATGGTGGACCAGAATCACCTCGAAGCTGTACCGAAGTATTTTTCCATGGCCTCTCTGAACTCCTCCCACGCCAGAGTTTTTGCCTCAGCGACTACCCGAGCCGCAATCCACTTGGACTGCCTATACCTATCAGCTGCTTCCAGAGTCCCACGGACCAAAAAGACCCAAGAGGACTCCTCCTTCAGCCTGACAGCATCCCTCACCGCCAGTGTCCACCAGCGGGCTCGAAGGTTGCYGCCACAACAGGCACCGACGAACTTACGGCCACAGCTCAGGTAAGCCGCCTCGACAATGGAGGTACAGAACATGGCCCACTCAGACTCAATGTCCCCCACCTCCCCAGGAACRTGTTCAAAGTTCCCCCGGAGGTGTGAGTTGAAGCTCCGTCTGACGGGAGACCCTGATAGATGTTCCCAGCAGACCCTCACTATACGTTTGGGTCTGCCAGGTCTGACCAGCATCCTCCCCCACCAACGGAGCCAACTCACCACCAGGTAGTGGTTAGTTGACAGCTCCGCCCCTCTCTTCACCTGAGTGTCCAAAACAAGCAGCCGCAGATCAGATGAAATGACAAAAAAGTCAATCATTGAACTGCGGCCT